CTACGGCATACGCGGGGCCAACGTACTACGGCGAGGAAACTCGCCTCAAGGCAAGTCCGTCGTTCACCTCTGTGACGGACTATGCAAATCACACCGATTACAGGTGAGGTCCAGTTATGCTGCGGAGGCACTTGCAGCCGCACATAACCTTGATGAGTGTTACCCTACGCTCATTACTCTCCACGAGCTTAAGGCAGGGGCTTTGACTCCACGACAACTACGAGACATGCGTGAAGTTGGAGGCCTTGCTATCAAAGTCTCTCTTACCATAGACGCCGAGTCCGTCTACAAATCTTTATCAAGCAGGGATCTCAAAATACCTACAGAACGGACTCTGCTTGGACATATCAGCTGGATACGTGAGCTCATGGATATAGGTATAGTACATAATGTGCAATGGTGTGATACTAGGGATATGACCGCAGATGGGCATACAAAGGGAAGCATCGATCGGGAGCTGCTTCTGGAAGTGATGTCAGGCACTCAGTCATTTAAGTATGACGTGAAGCAATTTGTTCCCTTTCGGGGTCCCGAGGACAGAGACAAACCTAAGTCTAATCAATTTTAGTCTGTCCTTGTTGCCCTCGCGGTCCAGTTTGCCAGCACGGGCGCCTACTATAAAGGCGCCCCTCTAGTTGCTCGGAAACGAGCCTTATATTTCACGCCTGGCAACGAGCCAGCTTCGTACAACTCAGGCTCTTTGCCTTAATACACATTTGCTTGGTGAGGTATGGCCTAATTTTGGCTTACCTCTAACTGAGCCGATAGCCCTTCATTGTTTGAAGGGGCTGTCCTGTATTTGCGTGAAATACTTTGCGAGGAAACTCGCCTTACAGTCTGGTGTTTGACCAGACTGTACGCACTGTTTTCTTTTTTGCAAACAGTCGTGCGCGCGATCTTTGCGTGCGACTATGCTCTCCGTCTCCTCCCCTCCCGACTTTAAGGGTAGCTCTTTGGGAGATGTTACAGTATCGGGAGCATAGCTCGCGCGCCGTTGCCTTTGGCCCAAGGCACGCGCGCCCTATTTGCCCGGACACCGCGAGTGTTCGCTATGTGCTGGAAAGATCATTACATCGATCTTATCCTATCTTATCCGTCCACCCTCATACTGTACTTTCACAGCAGAGCGATGGACGCTATTTGCCATCCGATGTCTATCATGGAATCGGATGCTATTTGAGTTACCAGGCTCACTTTCGACTTCTTGGGCCGTCTTGGGGTCATCATCGGCGTCTTGGAGCGCTCTTTGGGCGTCTCGGGGGCCCTTTGGGCAGTCTTAGGGGGCCTCTTGGGGCACTCTTGGCGCGCTCCTGAGGGCCCCGGGGGAGTCTCCCAGGACCCTCCCGGGCTCCTCCTGGGACCCTCTCGGGCTCCTCTCGGGGTATTTTTGATCCAGGGGCCCCCAGGGGCCGCCCCGCGCGCGTGAACCAGAAATATGGTTAAAAAGTTACCGGAGATCTTAGCACGCCTCTGGCCCGTTGGGCCGGCGAATTCTTGGGTAACCAACGGGTCTCATGTGTTTTTGAACACCTCTGTGCTGAAATGTGCAGAACACTCTTGGGGCCGGCCGTCTTGGCGCAGTCTTAGAGAATCTTGAGGCCGTCTTGGTGGCCTCTTGGGCTAGCGGCTAGATCGAGGGTCTCCTGGGCAGTCTTGCGGCCATCTGATGCGCGCTTTGGGCCGTCTTGAGCTCACGGGATCCTGAAAAGGTGAGGATGAGAAAAGCAGTCAAAAGCTGAAGGGAAATCAATGAGGTTGGCCTCTTCGGGCCCTCCTGCTGGTTGTATTGGAGCCCTCCTGGGCCGCCTCGAGAGGCTCTGGTGCAGCCTTGAGATCGGCTTGGGCCTCCTTGGGGCCGTATGAGCCCTTCTTGCAGGTCTCTAGCTTGGAAGTCTTGAGGCTCCCTGGCGACCCGGCGCCTCCCTTGCGCTCTCCACAGCGTCCCAAGACGTCCAAGATGGCTTCCAAGACGACCTAGGCAAGCCACCAATGCCACCATGACGGCCCAAGATGTCTCCAACACGGCCCACGATGGCCTCAAGACTGCCGAGGATGCCCTTCTTGGGACCATCTTGGCGGCCTTGCCAGCTTGCCTGGGCCGTCTCGGAAGCCAATCGTGGACGCTCTGGAGAGCGCCAGGACGCCGTCGGGCCGCCCAGGGAGCCTCGGGAGGAGGGGGCGATGCACGCAGGCAGATGCTGGTCGTCGTCGGCGTCGTCGGCGTCGTCGTCGTCGTCGTCGTCGTCGTCGTCGTCGTCGTCGTCGTCATGGCCGCCGCCCGTGGCTTCGGCGAAGGCGCAAAGGGCCCCTCCGAAGCCGCCCTGGCCCCACAGACGACTACGGCAACCATGCCAGACAGCACTTGGCATTCTGCCACGCCCCAACGTGCCGGATGGCGCAGTGGCGGATTTGACAGGGGTGGCGGGCGCTCTTTTTTGTACAGTTGTAGACGTGCGCTCGTGCGTGTGGCCCGTATGGTATCAATTGAGAGAATGGCACACGCGCGTGCGTTCATATGACTTCAGCGAGTGCACGCGGGCGCAGGTGCCTGGCAGCTTTACGACATAGAAACGCTTCGATTGAACCGCCATCCTGTGAAGTTGTGCGATCACCTGAGTCTTTTGACGGATTCCGGCACGGTAGCGCGGCGGCGCGCGCATGTGGCCCGCATGGTTTTACTTGATAGGGAGTGTTGCACAACGCACTTCTGATATCAGCGCAGGTACACCGCACCGCATTCTTTGCAGGGGATGACGCGAGATGTCGATACCAGTTGGCTCGGGGTGTCATGATTTGATGCAGAGTGAACGTGGAAACAAACTGTACCCCGAGTGGCACTGCGAATTTTAGCCTCGGTGGGGGGAGGAGCAGGGTCTAATTCTGTCTAGAACAAGAAGCCTATCGGGTACAATTGGTGTGGTGCGCTCAGGTGTAGAATCTGCTGTGCAATCTAGGGGGTACCATCAATGTGGCGCAGAAGAAGAGGAGGAGGAGGAGGAGGAGGAGGAGGAGGAGGAGGACGAAGTACCAGTCAGCGTGCGAGGCGGCGACGAGGCGGCGACGGACGGCCGCTGGGCGAAGAGCCAGACGCGCGAGCCAGCGCTGGGCGACGGGGGCGGCGAAGGAACGATAACAACGATGAGAGCGAGAACAACGATAACGATCAACGACAACGATACTACCGGCAATCACGATAACAACGGCAACAACGATAGCAACGATTGCAGCGATCGCTTTTGTCGTCATTCTTGTCGTTGCGCATGAGGCGGCGACGAGGCAACGACTGGCGGGCATAGGGCGAAAAAGCCGGAAGCGCATGCCTAAGCACAAGTCGGCGACGAGGCGGCGACTGGCAGACAGCGAGCGAACACGACGAGCGCATGCTGGTTACTTGTAAGGTGAGTCAATCTCCCTCGGTGTAAGCACTGTTTGGGGCACCGCGTGAGTTGCCCGAGTCAGTGTGCCAGAGCCCTCCAGTGGTGGCTCAGACTGGCTCTTGCGTAGCGTCTCTGGTGATTTTGGACCAACCCTAAATGGAGTCGGCAAAACGAGCTGCGGCAAATTCTGTGTGTTTACCTGAAGGCTCTTGTCACAGCGTACCCTTCCCGAACCTCCCCTGTGGTAAGGGGGGCCCCGCTTGAATGTATCTCGGTCCGAACATATCGTACGCAGTGCAGAGCGGTGCAGCCCCGTAACGTTGGCCAAGATCAGTTTCAAAGGCTCGCGCGGCGTGTATGACCTATCAGCGGAAGCCGCAAATACAGGAAGTCCTTTCGCATGCAGTTGATGTCTCGCATGGCAAAGCGAATTTGCATATGCTGTGTATGGCCTCGAGATTGCCTACCTCCATATTCTCTCGCATTTCGTTCCACATCTCACGACGCCGAGGGTCGGACGTATCTCCTTTTGCTCGCCTGTGTCTTGACTCCAGGATAGGGCCAGTTCCATGGCCAGAGTCGATCTCGATCTCGTTCGCCAGGTTTCCACGCATGATTCGGTTGTTTCCCGAATGCCTGAATAGGCCTTATCCTCCGAAGAGGCAGGACGCCGCCTCGATCCACGACCTCGGCCCAGGGACCCGCAAGCTTTGCCCTCCCATTGCTGGGCCTCGGCCTTTTCGCTCGCCTGTTGCCCTACCCAGGAGAAGGAGAAGAAGGAGGAGGAGGAGGAGGAGGAGGAGGAGGAGAAGGAGGAGGAGGAGAGGAGGAGGAGGAGGAGGAGGAGGAGGAGGAGGAGGAGAGGAGGAGGAGGAGGAGGAGGAGGAGGAGGAGGAGGAGGAGGAGGAGGAGAGGAGGGGGAGGAGGGAGGAGGAGGAGGAGGAGGAGGAGGGAGGAGGAGGAGGAGGAGGAGGAGGAGGAGGAGGAGGGGGAGGGGGAGGGGAGGGGGAGGGGAGGAGGAGGAGGAGGAGGAGGAGGAGGGGGAGGAGGAGGAGAAGGAGAGGAGATGATGATGATGATGATGATGATGATGATGATGATGATGATGATGATGATGATGATGATGATGATGATGATGATGATGATGATGATGATGATGATGATGATGATGATGATGATGATGATGATGATGATGATGATGATGATGATGATGATGATGATGATGATGATGATGATGATGATGATGATGATGATGATGATGATGATGATGATGATGATGATGATGATGATGATGATGATGATGATGATGATGATGATGATGATGATGATGATGATGAGGGAGGAGGATGAGGATGAGGATGAGGAGGAGAATGAGGAGGAGGAGGAGGAGGAGGAGGAGGAGGAGGAGGAGGAGGAGGAGGAGGAGGAGGAGGAGCAGGAGCAGGAGCAGGAGGAGGAGGAGGAGGAGGAGGACGAGGAGGAGGATGATGCTGCGCTTCGTGGACTGGGCCAGAAATCTGCTCTTCGCTTCGCGCTCCGCGCGGCGCGAGGCGCGAAGCCGCGTGACCCAGCCGACCCCGACCCTTTTGGCCCCTGAGCCTGCGGCGCATGCCTTCTCCAGAGGCGCCCGTGCGGCCGCAGCAGTGCCAGCAGCCGCAGCCGCAGCCGCAGCAGCGGCCGCGGCCAGAGCCGCAGCAGCCACAGCCGCCGCAGCGGGGAAAGCACAAGCCGCAACAGCGGCAGGCGCCGCAGCAGCCGCAATTGCCGCCGCGGGCGCAGTCGCCTCAGCAGGAGCGGCGGCGACGGCCTCGGGCGGATCCTCGGCAGCAGCAGAATCAGCAGACGCCGCAGCACCGGCCTGGGGCGCGCGCACGGGGCGGCGGCGGCCCGCCTGCGGATGAGGCGGACACGGCGCTGTCCCCACGCGCGCGCAGCCGCAGCAGAGGCCGGGGACGGTCGGGTAGGAGCCTCCGAGGAGGAGCACGAGGACGCGAGTAAGCCTAGGATCGCATCCACGATGCTGCAATTCACCCTCCGGCTCCCATGTCTTGACACCCCAGCAGGAAGTGCCACGTCTCCAGCCCACCTGTCCGACTCTGGCCATCGATGCTTCAATGCACCCTCTGGCTCTAGTATCTCCGACCCCAGCACGAAGTGCCACGTCTCCGACCTTCCCGTCCGACTCCGGCTCGCATCGGTCCAAGTTCCAGGTGAAGTGTGGCACTGCCGCGGCGTGGCCCTCGCCGGGCCCCGGCCCGCCCGTGCTGCCCTCGCAGGGCCAGTCCGTCAGACCGACGGTGCGCGCTCCGCTCTGCGTCGCTCCCATCCCAGGTCGGTGTCGGTTCCAGCCCTTCAAGTTTTTGTTGCCCCGCGCGAGTGTTCCAGCCGCCCACGCTGTGGGTTCCCTCTGCGCAAGTCTGGGGTCCAGAGAAGATGGACGGGGAAGAGATGGAGGGCAGGAGGGAAGGGAAGGATGGACGGGGAGGGGGGGAGGTGGGGATCCAGAGGGGATGCAAGGGGAAGATATGGAGGGGAGGAGGAAAGGGGAGGATGGACGGGCAGGGGATGGTGAGCGCAGGGAAGGGTTGGAGATTGAGGGAGGGGAGGGGGCGGGGAGGGGTGGGAGAAAGGAAAGAGAAGGGGTAGGTGAGAGGGAGGGAAACAGTGAGCGCGGCACGGAGGAATGACGTGATGGACGGGAACGGGAGGGAGGGGAGGGATCAGGGAAGGGGGAAGCGGGCGGGGAGGGAGGGAGGGAGGGAGGGAGGGGATGACTGGGCAGGAGGGCGGGGCGGATGGCAGTTGGATGTGGCCCCTGCTGCGTTGGCAGCAGCGGCCGTCTCCTGAGGTGGGTCGGGTCGGCCCACGGGCCCTCCTCTTTCGCAGCGCACGTTCCCGCCCCCCCCCCGCCCCCTCCCCCCCCGCGCACTCTTGGAACTGCTCGTGAGGGAAAAGGGAGGATGGGGGAGCGGGAACGAGGGAGGGAGGGAGTGGGGAGTGGGATGATGGGTAGCGGAGAGCGGGGAGGGGAGCAATGAAGACCAGGAAAGAGGGAGGCAGTGGGGAGATCGGGTAATTAGGTCTGGCGGACACGGCCGCGGGCCCCGATGTCATCGGGGGATACCCTGGAGCAAGCGCCGGAGGCCACAGGAGGGCCCCTCCAGTGGTCTCCAGGGCTCTCCAAAGAGGCCCCGGGCAGGCCAGCGGAGACCTCCAGATATCCAAAGAAGGATTTAGGAGCAGCCAAACGCATCGATTCTTGATCTTCGAACCTGGGGGATCGCTGATCGAGAAAGAGGAGGTGAGGAGTAGGCGGAGAAGGAGGAGGAGGAGGAGGAGGAGGAGGAGAAGAGGGATGATGAGAAGAACGAAGACCGAATCCCACCGGCGACGGAAGGGTCCATACAGCTGAGCAGGACATGAGAGGACCCGGACCCGGGCCGTCAAGTCCTCGCACGCGGGGCATCGCTGGTGCCTCCGCTGGACTGCATCCGTGAAGTCTCGAGGGTTGCACACGCGCTTCGCGCGAAAGATGTGCACCTCTGCGCACGCCCTGCACGCCTGGGGAGGGGAGAGATGGGGGAGGAGGAGGAAAGGAGACGAAGCTGGCGATGAAGATGATGCTGCTGCTGCTGCTGTTGACGAGGATGATGATGTTGATGATGCTGAAGATGATGATGATGATGATGATGATGATGATGATGATGATGATGATGATGATGATGATGATGATGATGATGAGGTTGGTGGTGATGATGATGACGACGACGACGACGATAACGATGACGATGACGACGAAGATAACGATGACGATGACGACGATGACGATGTGGATGACGATGATGATGACGATGCTGATGACGATGATGATGATGCTGATGATGGGGATGATGATGAGGATGATGCTGATAATGATGACGACGATGGCGATGATGACGATGAGGATGATGATGATGCTGATGATGATGATGATATTGACGATGATGCTGATTATGATGATGACCATGCTGATGATGATGCTGCTGCTGACGATGATGATGCTGCTGCTGATGATGAGGATGCCGATGCTGCTGATGACGATGATTTTGACGATGATTATGATTATGATGATGACGATGCTGATGCTGATGCTGATGATGATGATGATGATGATGATGATGATGATGATGATGGTGATGGTGATGATGATAATGGTGATGATGATGCTGATGATGATGATGCTGATGATGATGCTGCTGATCATGAGGATGCCGATGCTGCTGACGACGATGATGCTGATGCTGCTGCTAAGGATGATGATGATGATGATGATGTTGCTGATAATGTTGATGATGATGATGATGATGATGATGATGATGGTGATGATGATGCTGATGATGATGATGCTGATGATGATGATGATGATGATGCTGATGCTGAAGACGATGATGGTGCAGATGATGCTTATGCTGATGCTGATGCTGCTGCTGATGATGATGCTGCTGCTGCTTCTGCTGACTCTGATGCTGATGATGCTGATGCTGCTGCTGACGATGATGATGCTGATGCTGATGATGCTGCAGATGCTGATGATGAGGATTATGCGGATGATGGTAATGCTGAGGCTGATGAGGATGTTGAGGATGATGATGATGCTGATGATGATGATGATGATGATGATGATGATGCTGATGAAGCTGCTGCTGCTGATCATGATGCTGATGCTGCTGCTGATGATTATGATGATGATGATATGATGAGGATGATGATGATGATGATGATGATGATGATGATGATGATCAGGGTGATTATGATGATTATGATGATGATGATGACGATGATGATGATGATGCTGATGATGATGATGATGACGATGCTGATGCTGCTGCTGATGATGATGGTGGTGATGCTGCTGATTATGGTAATGCTGATGCTGATGATGATGCTGATGGTGATGGTGGTTGTGCAGTTGATGCTGATTCGGATGATGCTGCTGATTAGTATGATGCTGCTGCTGATGATGATGATGATGTTGATGATGCTGCTGATGATGATGATGATGGTGATGATGATGATGATGATGATGACGATGATGATGATGATGATGATGATGATGATGATGATGATGATGAGGACGATGATGATGATGATGATGGTGATGCTGCTGATGATGATGATGATGATGATGATGATGATGATGCTGCTGATGATGATGATGTGCTGATGATGATGATGATGACGATGAGGATGAGGATGAGGATGAGGATGATGAGGATGATGATGATGATGATGATGATGATGATGATGATGATATGATGAAGATGATGGATGATGATGATGATGATGATGATGATGATAATGATGCTGTGATGATGGTGATGATGGTGATGATGGTGATGATGATGATGAGGAGGAGGGAGGAGGCGGAGGAGGAGGAGGAGGAGGAGAGGCGAGGAGGAAGAAGGAGGAGGAGGAAGAGGAGGAGGAGGAGGGAGGAGGAGGAGGAGGGAGGAGGAGGAGGAGGAGAGAGGAGGAGGAGGAGTGGTGAGACTCCAGGTTGCGCACAGACACCCCCCCGGGTAGATCCCGTTGGCCTCAACACCCTGGCGTCGCCTGGCGGCGCCCTTTGGGCGATTCGTGCCCCATGGTTGGGGTAGTGAGACCGCCCTGGGCTACTCGCGGGGCCTGTTGAGGCCAGCAACGGCTGCCAGGGGGGGATGCCTGTGCGCAGCCCGAGCCCTTACCAAGGAGCAGAAACAGGAGGAGGAGGAGGAGGAGGAGGAGGAGG